TTTAATTTTCCTCAATATAATTTTTTTTTTTTTTGAGACAGAGTCTGACTCTGCTGCCCAGGTTGGAGTGCAGTGGCTCGATCTCCGCTCACTGCAACCTCTGTCTCCTAGGTTCAAGCAGTTCTCCTGCCTTGGCCTCCCAAGTAGCTGGGATTACAGGCATGTGCCACCACACCTGGCTAATTTTGTATTTTTGGTAGAGATGGGGTTTCACCATGTTGGTCAGGCTGGTCTCACACTCCTGACCTCAGGTGATCCACCCACCTTGGCCTCCCAAAGTGCTAGGATTACAGGCGTGAGCCACCACACCCAACCTATACAAGCATTTAATCCTCCTTTTGTTAGATAGAATCTGCTCTCAGCTTCTTCCTCCCTTTTTCTCCTTCCTCTGCTACCTGAGTTAGGTTGCAGACACTTTCAACTGAAGGTATTCTAATAAAGGCACTTTTGTTTCCCAGTAGATGGTGCTAGAGACACAATAGAAAGAGTCGGCTTTACAATCTCTAAAGCCTGATCCCTTCTGGCAGAATTCACAGTTTAACCTTTTGGATCTTGAAAGCGGAGGGCCAAATCCTAGAGAGCAGTGTGACCCACTTGGGTATGCTTTTGTTCTGTGACATTTACATGATAAACCACCTCCCAGAGTTGCATGATGGCTCATGCCTGTAATCCCGGCACTTTGGGAGGCCGAGGCAGGCAGATCACTTGAGGTCAGGAGTTTGAGACCAGCCTGGGCAACATGGTGAAACCCCGTCTCTACTACAAATACAAAAATTAGCCAGGCATGGTGGCGTGTACCTGTAATATCAGCTACTCGGTAGGCTGAGGCAAAAGAATTGCCTGAACCTGGGAGATAGAGGTTACACTGAGCCAAGATTTCGCCACTGCACTCCAGGCTGGGTGACAGACCCTATTTCAAACAAACAAACAAACAAACAAAATAAAATAAAAAGGAAAAGGCAACAATAAATCTTCTTTTTCTCTTTTTTAGAGACAGGGTCCTGCTATGCTCGAATGATCCTCCTACCTGAGCCTCCTGAGTAGCTAGGACTACAGGTGTATGGCCAATTATATATATGTATATAAATAATTTTTTTTTTTTTTTTTTTTTT